ACAGCTTTCCTGACCCGTTATGGGCATTATGAATTTTTGGTGATGCCATTTGGATTGACTAATGTACCTGCAGCTTTCATGAGGCTAATGAATGAGGTATTCCAGCAATATCTTGATAGATTTGTCATTGTTTTCATTGATGATATTCTGGTGTACTCTAAGTCTAAAGCAGATCATATTCGACATCTTAACTTGGTATTGAAGAAATTGAGGGAGCATCAGTTGTATGCCAAGTTTAGCAAATGTTAAGTTTGGTTGAATGAAGTGGCATTTTTGGGGCAAGTAGTATCAGCACAAGGAATTCAAGTAGATCATCAAAAGATAGCAGTAGTGGAGAATTGGGAACAACCATGAACCGTCACTGAGGAACGGAGTTTTCTGGGTCTAGCAGGTTATTATCGACGGTTTGTTCAAGATTTTTCTATGATTGCATTGCCACTAATGAAGTTAACCAAGAAGGATGTTAAGTTCGAGCAGGACGAGAATTGTGAGCAAAGTTTCCAGCACTTGAAATATTGCCTCACTCATGCTCCGGTATTGGTACTTCCTGATGGTAGCAGTAACTTTGAGATTTATAGTGATGCTTCTTTGAATGGTTTGGGATGTGTTTTGATGCAGCATAATAGAGTGATTGCCTATGCTTCTCAACAGTTGAAGATTCATGAAAGGAATTATCCTACTCACGATCTTGAGTTGGCAACCATTGTTTTTGCTTTGAAAATTTGGAGGCATTATCTCTATGGTGAGAAGTGTAAGATCTTCACAAATCATAAGAGTCTTCAATATCTTTTCACTCAGCATGATCTTAATCTTCGTCAACGAAGGTGGATGGAGTTACTAAGTGATTATGACTGCACTATTGAGTATCATCCGGGTTGTGCAAATGTGGTAGCTGATGCACTGAGTAGGAAACCTCAAGGTCGACTCAATGCTTTGTATGCTTGTCGTGTTCCTCTTCTTGTAGATTTGAGAGCTACTAGAGTAAAGTTGGAGTTAGTAGAACAAAGAGAAGCTTTTCTTGCTAGTTTCCAAGTCAGGCCAGTTTTGGTTGATCGTGTACTTGAAGCTCAGATGGTAGATGAAGAAATTCAAGAAATGATCCAATTAAGAAGTGAAGGGAAAAAGAAAGACCTCAGGATTCGAGAATCAGATGGCATGCTTATGCAGGAGAACAGAATGTATGTGCCGAATAATGAGGAATTACAGAAGGAAATTTTGGATGAAACACATTGTTCAGCTTATGCTATGCATCTAGGAAGGACTAAAATGTACCATACCATTCGACCATTTTATTATTGGCCGGGTATGAAGAGGGAGATTGCAAAATATGTAAGTAGGTGTATTGTTTGTCAGCAAGTTAAAGCTGAAAGAAAGAAGCCTTTTGGTCGGATGCAACCACTTCCTGTTCCTCGGTGGAAATGAGAAAATATAACTATGGATTTCGTGTATAAGCTTCCTCGTACACGAAATGGATTTGATGGTGTTTGGGTGATTGTAGATCGACTTACTAAGTCAGCACACTTCAGTTTAGTGAGGGAAAAGTATCATCTGAATAAATTGGCTAAGTTGTTCATCACGAAGATTGTGAAGTATCATGGAGTTCCAGTGAATATTATTTCTGATCGAGATCCAAGATTTACTTCTAAATTTTGGGTAGCTTTTCAGGAAGCTCTTGGTACGAAATTGCTTTACAATACTGCTTATCATCCTCAAACCGATGGGCAATCAGAGAGGACTATTCAGACGTTAGAGGATATGCTGAGATCTTCAGTGTTACAGTTTGGTGATTCTTGGCATGATCGCCTAGACTTGATGGAATTTGCCTACAATAATAGTTTTCATTCGAGCATCGGTATGTCACCATTTGAGGCACTTTATGGTAGAGCTTGTCGTACGTCATTGTGTTGGTCAGAGGTTGGCGAAAGAATGCTAGAGGGCCCATAGATTGTGGATAAGACTACTCAAAATGTTCAGGTGATTAAGTCTAACCTAAAAGCGACTCAGGATCGACAAAAGAGTTTAGCAGATAGACATGCTACTGATCGAGTTTATGATGTGGGTAATTTGGTATTCTTGAAATTGTCACCTTGGAAAAGTGTAGTGCGGTTTGGAAAGAAATGCAAGCTAAGTCCTAGGTACATAGGACCTTATGAGATCACTGAGATGATTTGTGAAGTTGCTTACAGGTTGGAGTTACCTCTGGAGTTATCTAAGGTACATAATATGTTTCATGTCTCGATGCTTCGACATTATGTTTCAGATCCTTCACATGTGATTCCTCCTCAACCTTTGGAGATTAATCCGAATTTGACGTATGATGAAGAACCAGTGACTATCTTGGATTGGAAAGACAAGGTTCTAAGGAATAAAACTATGAGCTTGGTAAAAGTATTGTAGAGGAACCACTCAGTAGAATAAGCTACTTGGGAGACAGAAGATCGAATGAGGGAGATGTATCCGAGGTTATTTTATGAGTATTAGTGTGGTGATTATTTTGGGATGGACCACACACACATACACACGGGTCAAACCCTTCCTCTTTCTCCCCCCGTGCTCTCTCTCTCTCCTCTCCGTTTAAGTCTCACTCTCTCCCTCTCGAAAAAGTACGGACCAAAGCATAAAACCCTCTAATCATCACGGATCGACGCCAAAAGGGTAATGTTCTTCATCCTTTCGACCTCTTGAGTTGAATGGTACCATTTTTAGAACTTAGAACCCTTGATATCACGTTGAAAACTCGAGGTCCGATTTGAGTACTGTTCATGCATTCGTGATGTGTTGATTTTCAGGGAATTCTAAGCTTATAGTGAACTTAGTGAGGTCCTAAGGAAGCTCGGAGTGCTTAGTTTGAAGGTTTTGGACGTCGGGATCGTTGAGTTCGAAGTTGGCCGGTTTTCTTGAAATTTCTCCTGTGAGATTTCGTAGTTTTTAGAGCCTTAAAGTAGTGTAACGTGATTCTACATGATTAGGGCTTCATTTTGATATAAAATGCGTGAAAAATGGTTGAGAAATGACGGAGAACAAGGAGATTGAAAAATCTCCAGTTTTTCGGTGGCCGGAAAAACCAGTCCGGCGACTGGAGGAAGAAGATGACGCGCATAGAGCGCGTAGGTCCGTGCCCCTCCCGGCGCGTGGGGGCATGTGCGGCCTCGAAATTTTTTTCTAAAAATACCTCGACGTCCGTGACGTCGAGTAGGTCACTGTGGTATATTCATATACCCAAATTGAGCATCGTATGAGAAGTTATTAGAATTGTCAGTTATGTGCTTTAAATAACGTTGTTTTAGTTGTTTCGCATATAGGTGCTACCTATCCCGAGGACGAGCAGATCCAAAGGCGTCATGAGGGTTATGACCCTTCGACTTATCAGTGAGTGGGCATTTATTTTATGTTATTACCTATATACTATTGATTTTTCCCAGAAATTGAATTTAAATGAAAGTATGTTTTCAAATGCCATGCATGCATATTATGAATTATATGAATTAGTAATTGATACATATATATATAAACTAGTACTGTGGACGCACATGTGAGTATGAGGTGAGTTTTATGTTATTTATGTGAATCATTGATGATGTGAATTGTGTTGAGAGCTCATAACATGCACCCTGGTGTTAGTGCTTATAGTATTCACCGCACCGCACGCTCACCTTAGATCCAAGTAGGTGCATGTCGTACAGACCATGAGAGGGTTCCGACATGCTAGTCGTACAGATCACTAGAGGTGGTTCCGACTGGTAAGTGACCTTAGATTATGTGCACAGATGATTGTTGAGAGAAGCACTAGAGCGTATTATTACACCATTCTTGTTGTACAGACTACTTCAGGTAGTTCCAACTTATGTGCAGAGTAGTGCCGTACAGGTCACCGTGGTGACTCCGGTTGGTTTGAATTTTGAGCTATGGAATTAACCGTACAGGATCAACTGCAGGGTCTCCGGTTGATTCATTATGTCACCTGTTATATTGATGCATTCATAATCTGTTATTGACATTTATGGCATGGCATATTTTCTGGAATTGATAAAGATTGATGATTTGAGATATATGAGGAATTATTTACTATTAGGTTATTTTCTGGGAAAGTATACAGGTTTTACAGCGAGGAGTTAGAATTGTTTTTGATGAAATGTTTTCGAAAGGCTTTGGTTTTACTGACCCACTCAATTTTGTTTTGCGCCCTTCCAGGTTCTAGTTAGCAGCGTTGGTGGCCCACGAGGATTCCCACGGTGTACTGACAGAATACATAAATGTAGGACTCACCTGCGGATGTTGTATTTTAGTTATGGTCCTACTTGACTGCACCTAGTTCTTATGCTCTGAATTTGTGCGTTTCACACTTAAACTTACTCTAGCACGTTACTTGGTTATTATTGCTAGTATTTGGTTTTTGTTTATTCGTGTTTCTCTTATCTTTTGCTTCCGCGTCACACTTTTGGTTACGTCACACTCACGTGACAGCCAGCACGCCTTGATTCTAGGATCGGGGTGTGTCATAGGTTGATTATAAAAATTAAAAATAAAATCTATAAATGGGGTTTAAAGCAAGAGGAAGAATAAGAAATAACAAAAAATTAAAATAAAAAGAAATAATCAAGAGATAATTAGGAAGAAATTTGATTTTTATAATAAAATATAGATAAATTTCTAATATATATTTGTTCAATGATCCACCTATATTATTATATAAAATATAGATAAATTTCTTTTGAATCAAATAACATTTCTTTAATTTTATAAGTAAATTATTTTGCATGTATTATTACTGGACAAGTTTTATAGTGCCCTTTCAGATTTTCATTTGGGTAAGAAAATGACAAGATCAAATTAAAACTGTCAAATTTTATGCAAATTTGAAAAACAATTACAAAATATTATCGGTTTTAAATTATTTTTTTTTGTCTTTGTTTGTTTGTTTTATATGTTGTGTTTGTGCTGGGACGTCATTTTGCAAGTTCTCTTTCCATTGGGACCGCTGCATTTTTAAAGTGTTGAGGGTGAGATTTAGACACTCAAAACACTCCATTCTTTTTTTCCAAATATGTGCGTTTGGTTCTCTTCGGTTTTAAATGTTTAAAATTAAATGGTTATTTGGATAAAATGGTTTATTAGTTTATCTTATGTGTTGTGATCAGGAATTCAGTTGGATTGGGTAAAATGCTTTATCAATTTACGTTATAGGGAATTTTGTGTATTATGGTCTGAGTTTTATTGCTTATCGTTTGTTCTTTTTTCTTTGTTTGCCGGTTTCTTTTGCAGGGGATCACTACAGTTTGGGAGTCAAAATGACCACACTACCCTGTCAAGGGTTCAGATATTGCCGTCAGGTGATATGAGAGAGGGGGTTGGATGGTAATTTTGTCCGTAGGGTTTCGGACGGATTGGGATGGGTTAGGGACTTTGTTCATTTAGTTTGTTTCTGAGAGAGAGAGAGAGAGAGAGAGAGAGGGGGGGGGAAGGAGGGATGAGGATGTCAGTGTCAACCTTTGATTCAGTGAGTGAGAGTGTGACAGTGAAAGAGAGGGGGATCATCGGGATTTCAGGGAGAGAAACACAGAGAGAAGGGTGATGGTGAACAGGCGCGAGTATGGACCCCTTAGTCCGTGATTCACTCTTCATCATCCATACTCTATTGCATGCTCAGATAAGTGTCTTTTTCAATTACATTGTGTACTAAAATCTCTGTTTTTTTATTGTTTCTTGCATTTATATCTGCGTGAATGTGGTAATTGAAAGCCCAAAAAAAAATTTCCAAATCTTTTTGTACTATTTTGTTAGGTTAGGCAGCATGGTTTTTGGTTTTTTTTTTTTTTTAAATTGATTGGGGGATTTTCTGGGCGTCTATTTATTTGTTTGCCCTTTGGTTTGTTTTTCATTCTGGGTTCCCCTCTTTCATTTGAGAGTACAAAAATTCCAAAGGTAAACATCCAATCCCTTGCTTCGCTTTTCTGTCCATAACCAAGAATCGGTGAAATAAGTGTGTGGTTCTTGGATCTGCGGTCTGAAACAAAAAAACATGTATATTCTCTGTGCCAGCTAATGTATCTGTGATTTCTTTGCAGGACGCTACTGCAACACTCAAGTCTGTTTGGAAAAAACTTAAGGATCTCGGACCCAAGGTAAAATGTAATAATCTCTGGCTCCTTTTTCTAATGTACGCTTGCATGCACTAGATCTGTGAATTTTAATTATGCATGTGCACTCTATATGCCAAAAGTTTCTAGATCCGGAGTGGTCATGATGCTAAGTTAGGAAGGTTAATTTTGTCCTATGGGTTTGGGACGGATTGGGATGGGTCTATGTGGCTATCATTCGATGAGGGTTTGATGAATGACAGCCATGCCGCCTTTGCACAGAGAGAGAGGGAGGGAGTAGTAGATCGTGTTTTATTGTCTTCACTGCACCATTAGTTTGATTGCCTATCCCTGTGTATTTGATTTCGTCTGGAAGATGACTTCTAATTCCTATAATAATCAGATACTCAATCTTCAATCCTGCTTAGTAGCAGCGATCACCACCTGCTTCATGAAGGATACACGTGAAACAGTTGTTAATATTTGGGAACCAACAGAGCTCCTTATTTTGGTGGTTTGTTTTTGTTTTTGGCAGGGGAACGATTTGGAGCAAGTGACTCAAAAAGTTAAACTTTGATATCGAAATTAATGGAAACCCATTGGTATGATTTCTTCATCTGAAATTTTTGATTGCCCAATTGGTTGTTTCATCAATTAATTGTTTGCAAACATTTATGTGTAATTTTTTACTTCTTCCAATTAAATGATAAGATCAGATTAAGCTATAAGAACTTTGGGTTTTGTAAATTTTGTGTAATTAAATTATTCATATTATCAATTAATTTTGAGCCAACATTTCTGGGTAGTTGTTAATTTCCCTCAATATTTGATAATAATTAAATTAAAGCTGGGAACTTTGTATTTTGTTCATTACTTGCTGTAGATTTTACTTGACAGAGAAAATGTAGTTTCCTTAATATTATTCATGTTTTGTTTTCTTTCAGATAGCGTTGTAGTGGGTCTCTATTCTTAAGACCAATTGTGAGGTTTGTTCTTATATGGTACATGAGTGTTTTTATAATTCTTTTGCACAGTTGTTAATATTTGTAGTTGTGATTGGTGTTGTCCTACATGTTTGGCCTGAAGAAAATGAGACACTACTTTTGATAAACCATATTGAGAGTGAAGGAATCTCCTTTTAACCTGGTCATGTTGGAGTACATTTCTACTAACTTGGTACAATATGGAAATTCATGGACTCTTGTACTTGCCCCTTTTTATATGTATTTGTTAATTACATGACAAAGTTTTTGACCCGTCGCATCGCATGGGCATGAATTCTAGTAATACCTAAGCCAGCCGATTTTCCGAAGGTCATCAGCATCCAATTCACCGAAGTCACTAATTGTTTGCCGCTCCTGTTCCTCACGCTACCCAAGCCAGCCGATTCGCCGAAGGCCATCAGCATCAACTTTAGAATTTTTGTAAGTTTTCTAATTTAGTGTTAGTTCTTACTTATTTTTAGTGTTAGTTGATACAGATTTATTGTTACGGCTGTCTTCGTGTTTGATTAGATGGGTTGCTTTAATTTTCTTCTGGGTGTTCTGTTTTACCTTTGTATTGGTGGTTTCTGATGATTCTGTTATATATGGCATGTATGAAGTATGATGGAGTTGATTGTAGTAACAAAGTGCCCACCATGTGCTTGAAGGAATGCCATAGTGGGTATTGGATAAAGGGCGTGTCTTGAATCTTGATTGAAATCCGGAATCAGTGTGAAGAAGTTTATTTCTTCATCTGGGCTTTTTGCTTCGAGTTCCTTCTGTTGATTAGTTCCCATTTGGAGGATTTTTTAATTCAAGTAAATAGTAGGAAAATGGGTTTCCCTTTTGAAGCTGAAAGAAGCTAGTAAATAGGCTCTTATTATTACTTTGGGAGATTGGTTGAATTGCTTCAGTATTGAAATTGGTTCACCTTTGCTATGATATGAAAGAGTTGGTCTCAATTTATTGCTTTCATGTATTTAGTGGAATTTAGAGGCGTCGTTTAGTTGTTCTGAACTCATTGCATGCTTAAATAAACGAGTTTTTCCTTTATGGTGAATTCCTTTATTTACATGAGCTAGTGCCTAGCGATTAGGCTAATGTGTGATCAATGAATTTTTGGATGTGTTTTTTTATAAAGTAAGACGCCATATCCCTCTTTTCCATTCTCTCTGTTTAGGTAAGATATGGTGTATCCATCCTTAATGGATATATGTTTAACATCAAGGCTGCTCTAAGACCAAGCCGAAGCTGATGTTCTTTGTTTTTTTTTCTTGGTTAGCATACTTCTATTAGGTCTTCAAGAACTTAGAGAAATGGGTGGACTGCCGGCTGAAAATACTTCCTCTGAGACCAAGCCCAAGCCAGCCGATTCGCTGAACGCCATCAGCATCAACTTTAGAATTTCTGTAAGTTTTCTAATTTAGTGTTAGTTCTTACTTATTTTTAGTGATAGTTGATACAAATTTTTTGTTGAAGATTGTGTTATAGAATGGAGGATCAATGATTAAATGATAGCTTAGTTGTTTACATTGAAAAAGAAATTTTTTCTTGTATTGACAATGAAACTATCATGACATGTTTTCAAAGTATGAAATCCCGTCGTGGACAAATTTAGTATTTCTAGCTTGTTTAGCACAAAGATTACAAATGAAAAGTTGTAGTCTGCGATTTATTTGTTTAATGATATTTTCGTTCATTTTTTTTTTTTGGAGCTTTTATATTGGAACCACCCTATGTTAAAATCATGGATCTGCCACTGCTTCATATGTTATTTTTTTCGGACTTTTGGTTAAAATAAAGTTGCACATATTTTTTCCAACGGCAAACCAGATTTTGTGGGAACCTCAATGGATATTAACTCGACTGTGGTTGGTTTTTGACAATCTGCTACGAGTGATTAAACCTTTATGCTTTCAGAGTTGATGTCCTGGACCAACAATACGTTATACTATCAATGACACTTATTAAAACTACTTCTAATGCATTTGACATTCCTGCGGCAACGCTCGGGCTAAAACTGCTAGTTGCTACTATGAAAATACGGGCTTGTGTGCTGTATATTCTTAGGTTGGCAATTTATCTAGAAACAAAAAGTGATGTGCTGCTACCTTATGAACCAAAACCATTAATTTTCTTGTTCTAGTATTTGCTTAGAAGTCACACTAAATCCCTCTCCATAATGCAGGATGGACGAATACGTTATGAGGAGTTTGCCGCAAATGATGAAGGCCGGGACAGATTGGAGGAAAGCATCAAGGCAACATTCATCAGATCGGTTCAAGAGTCTCGGTTTGAAATTAATTAGGGATGGATCATTGGAAGGTAAAACGGATAGTACATAACGTTGGAGGATCGACACAAGGTACTTGTGGGGGAGATGCATATCAAGGAAAGAACTCGTATTTTATTTTATTTATTTATTTATTTTGTTGTAACTCCGCATGTGTAAGTTTATCTTACATTGCCGGTCCCAAGCCCTGATAAAGGAGGAGGGGGAGGGCGTCAGGTAGTCGACAGCCGGCACTCCACAGTTACGTCGAATCCTTATGACAATGAATCCATAACGAAATCGCGCTAAAGCTAGGACGTCACCCGTAAGTGGCGCACTGTGTGGCCCGAGCACAGTGATAAGTGAGCAAGGGTCGCTGTATCTCCATCGGCACCCGGATGCAGTGTTAAATGAGCAAGGGGGCCATAGAAACTTCTTTTCGAACGACTCCACTCAAAGTTGTTTGGGAGCATATGCTCCTATCAACTTTACACAGGACACACAAAAGAAGTACTTTGATCCTATTAGACGGGGGATGGTGAAGAAGCTAAGACAGAAGGGTAGAGTTCAAGAGAGTATAATGCGTTTAGGAACGTGGAATATAGGAACCTTAACGGGAAAATCTATGGAAGTAGTGGAAGTTATGGTGAGGAGAAGGATAAATATTATGTGCCTACAAGAAACTAAGTGGGTTGGTCTTAAGGCAAAGGATCTAGAAAACTCAGGGTTTAAGCTTTGGTATTCGGGCACAAATAGAACGAGAAACGGTGTTGGCATCATTGTGGACAAGACCTTGACACAAGATGTTGTAGATGTCAAGAGGGTAGGAGATAGAATCATGGTAATCAAGATTGTAATAGGACAAGAACTCATCAATGTGATTAGTGCGTACGCACCTCAAGTAGGGTTGGATACGAGTTCAAAGGGAAATTTTGGGAAGACCTTGGAGACTTGGTGCAAGGAATTGCTCAGATAGAGAAGTTATTTTCTGGGAGGAGATTTAAATGGACACGTGGGTAGGGAGACAGGCAACTATGGAGGTTTTCATGGTGGCCATGGTTTTGGGGAGAGAAATGAGGATGGGGAAGCTATCTTGGATTTTGCAATGACATATGATCTCTTCTTAGCCAACACCTTCTTTAAGAAGAGAGAAGAACATGTGATCACCTACAAGAGTGGGTCGTCAAAAACACAAATAGATTTTCTTCTAATGAGGAAAGGGGATCGTATAACTTGTAAGGATTGCAAAGTTATACCGGGGGAGAGCTTGGCTAATCAACATCGCTTGTTGGTGATGGATGTACATATCAAAAGAGTGAGAAAAAGAACAAGACTTGGAAGTGCCCAAAGACTAGATGGTGGAATCTAAAAGGAGAAAAACAAGTCATTTTCAAAGAGCAAGTAATCACCCAGTGTGTGTGGGATAGAGAGGGGGAAGCTAGCCAAAGGTGGGATTCCATGGCTAGCTGTATCCGAAAAGTAGCAAAAGAGGTATTAGGAGAGTCCAAGGGCTTTGCTCCACACCAAAAGGAATCTTGGTGGTGGAATGAGGAGGTACAAACAAAGGTGAAGGCTAAGAAGGAATGTTGTAAAGCCTTATACAAGGATAGGACCGATGAAAATGGTGAAAGGTATAGAAGAGTGAAGCAAGAGGCGAAGAAAGCTGTGAAAGAAGCTAAGTTAGCGGTTTATGACGATATGTATAAGCGACTAGATACCAAAGAAGGAGAGTTGGATATCTATAAACTAGCTAGAGCAAGGGAAAAGAAAACAAGGGACCTAAACCAAGTGAGGTGCAACAAGGATGAGGATGGAAAGGTTCTTGCTACAGAGAACGCGGTCAAAGACAGATGGATAGGTTATTTTCATAATCTTTTCAATGAAGGACATGAAAGGAGTACTCATTTAGGGGAGTTGAGTAACTCAGAAGAGTGTAGAAACTACTCATTTTATCGTCGAATCAGGAAAGAAGTGGTTGTAGCTTTGAAGAAGATGAAGCATAGAAAAACACTGGGCCCAGACGATATACCGATTGAAGTGTGGAAAGCCTTGGGAGAGACAGGTATAGCATGGCTCACTGACCTTTTCAATAGGATTTTGAAAACGAAGAAAATGCCAAACGAGTGGCGAAAGAGCACCTTGGTGCCTATTTACAAGAATAAGGGCGACGTACAAAATTGCATGAACTATAGGGGTATTAAGCTAATGAGTCATACAATGAAGCTCTGGGAGAGAGTCATTGAGCATAGATTGAGGCAAGAGACACGAGTTTCGGACAACCAATTCGGGTTCATGCCAGTGCGCTCAACCATAGAGGCAATCTATCTCTTACGAAGATTGATGGAAAGATATAGAGATGGGAAAAAGGATTTACACATGGTCTTTATAGATTTGGAAAAAACGTATGATAGGGTCCCAAGAGACATTCTTTGGAGGATTTTAGAGAAGAAAGGAGTACGAGTAACATATATCCAAGCTATAAAGGATATGTATGAAGGAGCAAAGACTGCCGTAAGAACTCATGAAGGACAAACCGAAAGCGTCCCCATAACTGTAGGATTACATCAAGGCTCATCCTTAAGTCCTTACCTTTTTACGTTGGTAATGGATGAGTTAACAGGACATATTCAAGATGATATTCCTTGGTGTATGCTTTTCGCAGACGATATAGTGTTGATAGATGAAACACAGGAAGAGGTAAATGCGAAGCTTAACATTTGGAGAGAAGTGTTGGAATCTAAAGGTCTTCGCCTAAGCCGATCAAAGACAGAATATATGGAGTGCAAGTTCAGTGCAAATGGAGGCCAAAATGAGTTAGGGGTGAGGATCGGAGATCAAGAAATACCAAAGAGCGACCGTTTTCGCTACCTAGGATCTATCTTGCAAAAGAACGGAGAATTAGATAGAGATCTCAACCATAGAATACAAGCTGGATGGATGAAGTGGAAGAGTGCATCCGGCGTGTTGTGTGATCGTCGTATGCCACTGAAGCTTAAGGGAAAATTTTATAGGACGGCAATAAAGCCGGCGATGCTGTATGGCACAGAATGTTGGGCGGTGAAGCATCAACACGTACACAAAATGGGTGTAGCGGAGATGAGGATGCTTCGTTGGATGTGTGGGCACACGAGAAAGGATAAGATTAGGAATGAGGATATCCGAGGTAAAGTAGGAGTAGCCGAAATTGAAGGAAAACTGAGAGAAAATCGGTTACGGTGGTTTGGACATGTGCAAAAAAGGCCTACTGACGCTCCGGTTAAAAGATGCGACTACGGGACAGAGGTTCAGGGCCGAAGGGGTAGAGGAAGACCTAGGAAAACTTTGGAAGAGACTCTAAGAAAAGACTTAGAGTACTTGGATCTAACGGAGAACATGACACAGGATCGAGCACAATGGCGTTCTAAGATTCATATAGCCGACCCGACTCAGTGACTTGGATTTTTCAAGTCTCCAATCGAGAAGTTTTCCCCACTCGGGAAATTAAGGGAACACTACCTCAACCTACATGCTCCACTCACAAAGCTTCAACATACAAGCTTCAACAAAAGAAAAATTCAAAGAACTTAGTGAAGAAGGCTTTGGTGTATTTAACACAACGTTGAAATGAAACAAAGCTTATTTATTGATATCTCTAAGAAGTCACAAATATGTACATATACACGAGTCAAAATAAACAAACAAGAGGGAGCCTTCACAAAGGTTGCTTAGGAGAAGTCTCAGCAGTCGGCAGAGCCCCAGAAAGAGAAGGCACCGGAAGGGGACCATTCGGAGCCTCAGTACTGGACAGCACCCTAGAAGGAGGAGGCATCGGAGGTTGATCATTTGGAGCTTCATTACGCGGTACAGCCCCAGAAGACGAAGGCAATAAATGCCTTTGGAACAAACCCACAAACCTCTGATGATCATGTAAAATCTGACCATCAGATTCCTTCATCTGGTCAAGCTTCATCTTCATGTTTGTAGCATAGTCATGTGCGAGCCGGTGCAACTGTTTATTCTCATGCTTGAGCCCTCTAATCTCCTGTTTGAGACTCATCACTTCAGCCGCCAATGATTCAACTTGGCGGGTTCGAGCAAATAGGCGTTGGGCCATATTAGACACAGAACCTGCATACTGAACACTGAGAGCCAGAGAATCCTTAACAGCCAACTCATCAGACCGTTTGGAAAGTAGTCTGTTATCTTTGGGAGTGAGAAGGTTCCTGGCCACCACCGCAGCGGTCATATCATTCTTCATCACGGAATCCCCAACGGTAAGATGACCAGTAGGGGATAAGAAGGATGGGCGCCATATGTTGTCTGGAGAAGGCGTGGCTGCCTCTTCAACAAAGTTCAAGTCAAAACGACGGTCGAAGGGGCCAGACATTTTCAAAGGTGTTGAAGAGAAAAGAGGTCGGACAAATCAAGATCTTAGAAATGCAAGAAGGGAGCTTCTACTGGTGGAGATTCAAGTGTGCTTTGGAACTTAATACCAGCCTCTATAAAAATCTGCACTCGATGGAGCTTCAGAAATCGAAGAGGCGCCTGCTCAGAAATCGAAAAGGCGTTTGCTTTCTCAAAAGCTGGGCTGCTCAGAGACCACGAGGGCTGATCTCAGGAATCGAAGAGGCGTTTGCTTTCTCAAAAGCTGGGCTGCTCAAAGACAACGAAGGTCGATCGTAGAAATCGAAGAGGCGCTTGCTTTCTCAAAAGCTGGGCTGCTCAGAGACCACGAGGGTCGATCTTAGAAATCGAAGAGGCACCTGCTTTTTCAGCCTTGTCAGCACCTGTCACATGCACATTCAACTTTGCGGAAATTACGGACATTCTGTCGAAGATTTCTAGTGAAGTAGAAAGCACGTGAATGTTACTGTTCAATCATTCATTTTCCACACGCAACATCAGCTCACGGGTACCACAGATAACTTTGCCAAAAATCTCTGACAAAGTTTAGACACGTGAAGCTTGCAACTCCCATTACATCGCTATGACCAAGAAGGGTAAAATAATAGCAAAGAAACAGCACTAACAAAGTTTAGACACATAAATTTTGAAGGTCTAGCTACCATATTATTACCCACAAGGGTAAAGGAACATGACCATTGCTGGATAATTGGAAAGTCCCTATGGGTCAACCTCTGTGCTCCGTGGCAAGGTAGACTAGCAAACAGGCCTAACCTTTACTCA